CCTCCTGGTTAGCAGTCAAGTGCCTTAGGCACTATGCTACCAGAGCTCCTTGTTATTGTGTATCATCAATTTGATTCCCACTCAAAGCAATCCTATATGATAGAACTGCCCCATAGGGATTCCTAGGCTGTAATCTTTTAAGGGTGCAGAGTGCAAGGTATTTTCACCCGTGGAGCCGCTGGTAGGTTTGAACCCCTTACCTTTCAGTTAGTAACCAAGCACTTAACCGTTGTGCCACCAAGGCTCAGACATTGAAAACCCTATGTGGTTCTACTCTGAAACACATGTGGTCATCATGAGTTGGAATCCACAACAAAGGGTTTTTTAGATAGAATATAAAAAAGGAGATAAATTCATCACATCTTAGGTGCTGAATTTGAGGGGAAAAGGGAGTTGAGATGAAACTCAGAGTGACTTAACAGAACATGTCAGGAAAGGGAGCTATATGATAACTGAAGTTGTAGAACTGTAGTCCACCTAGAGGTGCTTAGACGAAAGGCCTGGCTTTTACTTTTTTAATTCCGAAAAACAGCCATAGAAAACTTTATGGAGCAGTTATACTCCTGATACACACATCATGTTGCCATGCGTGGTAATTCATTGGCAGCAACCAGTTACTAGTAAGCAAACTTGAATTTCTAATATGAACCCAATTGCATTAGCTTACTTTAATATGACCTTTACTTCGGTTAGACCAAACCAAAACCAAACTCACTACCTTCCAGTCCGATCCGACTCATAACGACCCCTTCTTGAGTTTCCGAGGTGGTATCTCTATAGAAGTAGATTAGATTGTCCTACCTTCCTTCCCAGGAGTGGCTGGTGGGTTTGAACCGCCAGCCTTCTTAGCAGTCCAATGCCTTAGGCACTATGCTACCAGAGCTCCTACCGAGGTTAGAAGGGATGCACATTTCCAAGACTCCGCTAAAAACAAAACAAAACCCATTGCTGTCAAGTGAACTCCTGACTCATGGCGACACTACAGGGCAGAGTAAAAAGAAAACAACCTCACTGTCATAAAGTCTATTCCGACCCACAACGAACTGTCATAGGGTTTCCAAATCTGTAAAACTTTAAGGAAGCCTACTGTCACATCCTCGGAAGGAAGGTTGGGCATTCCTACTTCCGCAGTGATACTGCCTCGGAAACCCAAGGAGGGGTCGCTATGAGTCGGGGCCGACTCGATGGCAAATAACAACTGTCACATCTTTCTCCCTGCAGAGCTGCTGGTGAGTTCCAACCAGTTTTCAGTTAGCAGCTGCAAGCTTCAACTGCACCACTAAGACTCCTCAAGAATCCTCTGATCATCTAAAAATGTTTCTATTTGCTGCTTGCATCCTCCACGTTCTTTCCGCACACAAATTGAGGGGAGAGGAGTAAAGAAGCCTGCAAATGAGGGTTCAGAGCTATAATCTTGTCTCTGCCGTAACATAAGCACCTTCCCCAGTCTTGGGACGACCATCAAAGGGCGATACTGAAGATGACTGAGAATTGACAGCGTGGAGATGGAACTCAAGAACAAAGTCACCGGCCCAAGTCCAAATCGTGTAACTCCTTCCAAGTTCTCCCTCTGGGGTGCAGTGGACGCCAGCTGTGGAAGTACGACAGAGTCTGGGTAAAGGTCGCCAGCTAAAAAGCCAGGAGACGTCTAGCTGCGTCAGAGTTGGGGGGCAGCTCTGTCTCAGAAGAGGAAACACTTCTCTCAAAGAGCATTACGTCACACGCCCAAGAACTGTGACCTTACGCGGATAACGCCACGGATCCACAGCGCGACCCAGCGCCTCACGACTCACGAATTTACGCATGCGCACAAAAATCAGAGCGTGGGCAGTCAGCCCTTCGCGGCACAATCTCGACGTCGTACGTCCAAGGGCCTGCCGTAAAGGCCGGGCAAGAAAGGCCTGCAGAGAAAGGGCACGCAGGCAGCACAGCCTACCCTGCTAGCCGGCATGCGCGCGCAAATGACTGACACAAGCCCAGAAGACTGGAGCCAATGGGGCACAGCTGACGTCACCCCGCAGTAGCCGCCGGGCCTCACGCTGGGCCGCGGGAGGGCGGAGCAAGTTTGGTTGCACTAACACCGGCTCATAGATGCGGACCGGCGTGTCCTTGGACTTAGATTGCGGGACGTCGGGCTTCTGAGCGGTTACTTTCGTATCACGCGCGACAGGAGAGTGGTGAGCACGGGGTCCTGGAAGCCTCGGGGGTGGGAGTCTGACCCGTGAGAAGTGTACACCTTCGTGGGAGGTGCCTCCCACGAAGGTGTATGCTTGTGGGCGTTTTGAGGCTGGCGTCTGTGGACCTTCGGGTGGAGCCCGCGCGGAGCGGCAGGAACGGGAGTGAGGACCCCCGCTTGTGGTCAGGCCGAACACGGTGGTTCAGGGATTGTGGGTAGCGGAACCCCGTCAAGGTAGAAGTAGGGACTCTGCCAAAATCTTGAAAACCTGGAGGCGGGTTTGATCCGTGACCGACAAAAACGCGGGCTCTCCCGTTGTTGGTGCTGAGGGGCCATGAAAATGATGGACAGAACTTTCTCTCCGGTGATGGGGAATGGGCAGACGGTGATTGGCGCTTTTTGTCGTCCTTCACAGAGAGCAGAAGTTGCTGTTTCTCTAATAAGGGTTCTCTTCTTTTTCTGACTACCTGTCAGTTCTTTTGTCTTTGCTGTCCCAGAAAGGGGGTTTTCATCGTAGTCTTCTTGAAACCGGTCTGCATGGGTGACCTCTTGATGGCTTCCGGGGAACACAGAGTTGAGGGTAGGGAGGACCTTTTCCTGTCGCCCACTCAAGGAAGGTTATAGTTGTCTAAGCCATACCTGTGAACTGAGCCGACTGAATCAGCTCCTAATTTTATTATTTTTTTTTCAATTGATGTGACTTGCTTTATCCTCAGGAAGAGGTGGTTTTATTGGAATATGAGTAGATAGACTTTTTTAAAAGTTGGGATTTTGGTAGTTTTGGTTTCATGTAATCGAGGTACAACTTAATCAGAGTTGTGACACTGTGACCTTGACCTGGGCTTTTGAAACTGGGGTTTGAACTAGGTTCCCATTTTGCTTTAACCTTAGTCCCTTACACACACACACACAGAAATGTGTGTGTTTAATAAGATTCTCCTCCTAAATAGTGTTTTAGTATTAAAAAGTTTGTTGGAAATGTACTAAGTGAATCAAGATTCATCCCAATACCTAACCCTTTTATAACCCATAAGACTATAATGTCCACCTACAGTTTCCATTTAAGGAGTTTAGTGGGAAGCTGGTTCCCCTCTTTCAGTGCGGGCTACCATCTGGTGGGGGATGTATAATTACAGGTGACGACATCCCACCAACCCCAGCACCAGAGACCCCTCAGGACATATGTGTTCTGCTAATTGTTTCAAAATCCATATTACCTCCAAAAAGAATTGTTTTTCCATTTCATTAAAAATGTCTTCCATTACTGAAAGTGCCTTGCTTCCACAAAAAATTCAAAGCAGGAGGTAATTCAGTCTTGAAGGAGTTAATGTCGTAGAGTAGCAGTGCATTAGTCATTAAGTGATTGGAGTGATCATTGATTTCCATTGTATTTGTTAGGTGGAGGAAAAGTTAACTAACTTGGAGCTTTCATTTTTAGAATTCAAAATGGGTGATGTTGAGAAGGGCAAGAAGATTTTTATTCAGAAGTGTGCCCAGTGCCACACTGTGGAAAAAGGAGGCAAGCACAAGACTGGGCCAAATCTGCATGGTTTATTTGGGCGTAAGACAGGTCAAGCCCCTGGGTTCTCTTACACGGATGCCAATAAGAACAAAGGTAAGAGGACTGCAGTTGTTTAATAATCAAAAGTACTAATTACATGAATTTAGCCTACGGTAAACCCTTTGTCAAGATTATAAAATACTTAACTAATGTATCTCTCCTTGTCTAGGTATCACCTGGGGAGAGGACACACTGATGGAGTACTTGGAGAATCCCAAGAAGTACATCCCTGGGACAAAAATGATCTTTGCTGGCATTAAGAAGAAGGCAGAAAGGGCAGACTTGATAGCTTATCTCAGGAAAGCTACTAATGAGTAATAGTTGGCTACAGCCTTATTTATTACAAAAAAAGAATGTCTTGTGACTTTTTTTTTTTTTTTTTACATGTACCATATTTAAATTTCTCTCGTACATCAGAGTTCAGATCATGAATGGCTGATAGAATATTTTTGTTGGACGGTCCTGAATTAAAAGATTGGCTGTGGTTAAATTAATATGATCGAACTTTTTAAATTTTGATAGTAATTTTGGTTCAAGTGTTACCCCTGCTTCTCCCTTCTAAAGATATGATTGGACTTGAGGCTAGGTTGGATTAGTAATGTCAGTTTTTCACAAAGATAGTGAATGCCATCCCACAGCCTATAGGAGATTGATTTATGTTTAGATTTATATAACTGATAATATGAATATATTTAAATACCCAGGAAGTCTATTCACTGTGTGAAGAAACAGAGCAAGATTCACCTGTTTCAATTTGTGTTCATCAGCTTGTTTAAATACAAACATTAAAGATGCTTTCAACTGTGTTGATCTAATTAAATTCCCTGTATCTAAAATGCTGCTTTTTAACAAAAGCATTTCAGTGTGGTTTGTGTATGATATCAAATAAAGACTATAACATTTCTCATATTTTATAGATGATCTATAAGGTAGGGTGCTTTTAAAAGCGTGAGATGTAGTAGCAAGTTGAACTTTGTTTTTTAAATTCTTTATTCTCTTAGACTAAGTTGTAATTCAGGATTGTGTTTAAACAGCTATTCAGAAACACAAAACTGTTGAAGTACTTTTGATTGGTAATGGTGCTTTTACCAACTCATAGGAAGGATTACGATAGAGAAGATACATTATTGGCACAAATTTGTAAATTATGTGATCGTAAGACTTAATTAAAAGATAATGATTATGATTTTTTGATTGTACTTGATTTAATGACTGATGTCAAAATCATAATGGTTAAAAAGTATAGTAGTCCTAGAAATCTACACAGCAACATCAGTAATTCTGCCTTAGAGTTTCTTGTCCAAAATAACTATAGCATCTATACTGATGTATACAGGTAGAAGAATGTGCTTCTTATCTTAGTTTTATGGTAAGTAGCAGTATATAATTATGTACTGAATTACCTCTTACAATCTTAGCCATACACATTGAAATAGTTCCTGGAAATCTTATGAAGGTGAACTATAAACTGAACCATAAAGAATGGTGAGAATTTCTCAGTAACCAATCTTTGCTGGCAGAAATGAGAGTCATTTTCTTTATGGGACAATGAGGAGACTGGGAAGAGGGTTTCAAAGAAAGTGAGTGGTTTCAAAGGTGATGGAAATTATTAGATAAGCCTGTAAGGTTTGACAAAATAATTAGTAACCAGTGAGTCTTTTCAGTTGAAGGAAATATGTGAGAGTAAGGAAACCAGTTTAGTAATACATGCAAGGCAAGAAAAAAAAAAGCCTTTAACTCAAATGTGAAGTTCTGGCCTAGGTGCTATTGGTGGGAAATTTAAAAATGCACCCAGGAAATGCATCAGAGGTAGAGCCTCTTGTAATAGATCTTGGTAACTGCATATGTTAGTGGTATTCAGAGACAGTATGGCAGTTAGCTTCTAACGAATGGTTAATTCTAGACCAGTGTTGAAAAACTTGTAGGTTCAGGGATTAATTTTCATTTTTATGTATCCTGGGAATGATACTAAAAATAATCATTGTTAAGATGGGTAATGTTATATGCTGTCAAGTCAGACCTGACTCATAGCGACCCCTCTTTAGGTTTCTGAGGGGGTATCACTACTGAAGTAGATTGCCCAACCTGCCTTCCGAGGAGTGGCTAGTGAGTTTGAACTGCCAGCCTTCTGGTTAGCAGTCAAGTGCCTTAGGCACTACTTTACCAGAGCTCCTAGATGGGCACTAAGCCTATAGAATTACTAAACCTTTCATCTTGGACTACAGATTTTGAAACTTGGTTTTTGTCACAACCCAGAAATCTTGATTTTGAAGTGATCAAGCCTTGGTAAACTTGCTGTCATTTAACTGACAGTACCATCTTAATTATGATGGCTGGCTAATTCACACTACAAGGCATATCTTCCTTAAGAGCCAGTATCAATCATATATACAGAGAATTCCTATTTTTTAACGGTAAATTAATTTTTTGTAGGTTAAAAAGTTATCTTGTATTTAAAGCGACTCTATCAACTAAGGTCTGTGTTAGCACAGATCATTGTGGAATACCTAATGTTTTCTAGGACAGTGGTACAGAAATACCCCTGGTGATTAATAACAGCCCTGTTGTTAATTCTTGAGGTGACAGTTGAAGGCACTACAGGGAATAGATGAATAAATGCCTTCTTAGAAATAATGAAAAAGACAAAAAGCACTGTACATTCATTCCTAATGCTTCATGTATGTATTTTCATTCCTAATGCTTCATGAGGAGCTCTGGTAGCGTAGTGTTTAAGGCATTTGACTGCTAACCAGAAGGCTGGCGGTTCAAACCCACCAGCCACTCGGAAGGAAGGTTGGGAGATCTACTTCCATAGTGATACCGCCTGGAAGCCCAAGGAGGGGTCACTGTGAGTCGGGTCTGACTCGACGGCGCGTAACAACAACTAACAACAACAAATACTTCATGTGGGTAACTTGGTGAATGTTATCAAAAGTGAGAGTTGAAAATACTAAAGGGGTTGCAGGTTTCTTCCAAGTGCCACCTACACTCAGTTTTGTCTAGAATAGCACTGTCCAGTAGAAGTTTCTACCATAATATCTTCTAGATCTTTGCTGTCCAATATATGGTAGCTATTTAGGAACTCTGGTGGCTTAGTGCCTAAGGCATTTGACTACTAACCCACCAGCCACTCTTTGGAAGGAAGATTGAGCAGTCTACTTCCATAGAGATACTGCCTCAGAAACCCAAGGAGGATGCCATGAGTCAGATTCGACTCCATGGCAGTGCTTGGTGTTTTATTATTATTAATCCCTTGAAATGTGGGTAGCATGACTGAGAGACTAAATTATGAATTTACATAGTTGCGCATGGCTAGTGGCCACTATTGACAGCACAGATCTGGAACTGTTAACAAAAATGCCTTTCTGGACACTCATTTTTAATCTAGGATTCTTGCAAGTATACCATACTGTCCTTCAGAACACTGATTTAAAGTCCTGTTCCTAAATCTGATATGCTCACCTCTATGATTTTAGCATATTTTCAGTCTATTTCACAAGTTCTATAGTTTTAGGTAGATGACATTCTGGTAGTAGCTAGGAATATAGCTTCTGATTGTCGTTTTCCTGCACTTTTCTGCAATTTCTTTATATTGTACAGTTTAGCTTTGACCATTGAGGCTATAATAGAATTCACATCGATGTTGAGGAACAGCCTTTACCAATTGGTGTGGCCCTTTGTAAACTTAATATTCCAATATCTGGCTCTCTGCTGTTGACTAAACGCAGGTAGACTGTTACACATCAGTCAATCTCAGGAAACCAAAAATCAGTTTACTTAAGAAACTGATGTCTTGTGCTAGGCTCTTTTGATTCCCATTCCTCATACCAGAATACCTTGTAGGCCAAATAAGGCTATTGCTGAACATGGGACCAAAATCTACTGCCATCAAGTGGATTCTGACTCATCGCAACCCTGGCAACAGTAGAACTGCCCCATAGGGTTTCCAAAGTTGTAAATCTTTACAGAAGCAGATTGCCTCATTTTTCTCCCATGGAGCAACTGTTGGGTTCAAACTGCCTTCCTTTTGGTTAGCAGCCAAATAATTTAACCACTGTACCAGCAGTGAGCAAGGAATGAGAGCTAAAATTCATTCTGTCCAACCTGATGTCCGATGGTGCATCAAATTCACCTCTACATTGACCAGAAAGTCTCCCAAGTGCATCTCTTCTAGGTAGTGCTGTGGATATATACCATGCTGCTGCTGTAGCTGCATTTTTTTTGTTTTTTGTTTTGTGATTTGGGTGAAAGTTTACAGAACAAATTCATTTTCCATACAGCAGTTCATGTACATTTTGTTTCATGACATTGACTGCAATTCCCCACAATGTATGTAACAGCTCTCTTCCTACTTCTCTGTACTTCCCTATGCCCTTTCCTGTGCATTCCTGCCCCATGAACTATCTTCCTGTATGAATACTGCCCCATTCTCCCACATTCTAAAGGAGTGTATTTACATGATGTAAATGTTCACCTTATATTCCTGTCTGTTGTTTGACTGCAAGCCACGGGAGTGAGTTCAATTCCAGACTTGAAGGGTAACTAGGGACCATAGTCGCAGGGGTCTCACCAGGCTCTTATCAGACCAATAAACCTGGTCTTTTTTAAGATTTTGTTTTCTACATTGTTCTCTCATTCTATCCAAGATCTATACTGATCCCTTTCCAAGTGGTTGACAGTGGTAACCAGGCACCATCTAGTTCTGGTCTCATCATATAAGCTTTGGTTCACATGGTCCACTGCAAACTGTTCACATGAGTCTTTGGTTTTCTTCATTCTTCTTTGCTCTGGATAAGGAGAGGCCCAGTTGTTACCTCTAGATGGCTGCTTGCAAGCTTTTAAGACCCCAGTCACTACTCAACCAAAGTAGGATGTGGAACAATCTTTGTGTGTAGTGTTATGCCAATTGATGTAACCGCATTTGTGTGTGTGTGTGTGTGTGTGTGTGTGTGTCCCAGACTGATCATACTCCTGGTGTTTACATACAGAGTATAATATAAAGATTTCTACTTGCTTAGTAACAGTTGAATTCCTGGTTACCTTAATCGGAGCTTGACTCATTTTACAGTGTTTGTTTATCAAAGGGCAATATACTTCTAGGTTCTTAAGGGAATTTGCTGGCAGTCTCCCTGTGTGTCACTAACGAAGGTGACTTTGGTAACTTTCCATACATAGAAATACATAATGAGGAGAAGACCAATGTGTTGTGATTGATAGTTTATTGACAGTCTTTGGAAATGTCCTGGCAAAAATGGCAGGAGATGGACTGATAACTTGCTAGAACTTTTGTAAAGTGGAATATTTTAATCACTTTAGTG